TAAATATAATTACAATATCTTTTTCATAACTAAAAATAATTTTAAATAATTATTTAATATTATTAAACTATTCAGTCTGTTCAAATACCCAACAGCAATATTTAAAAATCTAATTGTCTCATATTTTCTCTTATTTTCTGTTTTAACTATCTATCTGTTTGAATCAGGATCTGGATAAGGTATACACATTGTGATTTTTTGATATGTGCCTTAATTTTCTGTAATCTGTAAATTCTCCTTTCATCTTTTATTTTTCTTACAATTTTTTGTTGTTCTTTAAAAAATTGTGTGAATTTCTTGTAGTTTCCTAACTTGATTTTGCTAATTTCATTTGTTCCTCCTATTTTCCTATTCTTCTGTCCTTTCCATTTATTGTAAATTGGTTTGATCAGATTCAGGAATAACATTTTTCTCCTTTTTTTTTTTTTTTTAAGCAAGAACACTCTCTCCTTCCCTCTTCACACATCTGATTCCTCATTGTTTAAACTTACATACATTTTTTAAATACAAGTATGTTTGACATAAACATTATGTAAATTTGAGGTGTACCACATGTTAATTTGATACATTTATGTTTTGTAATAGTATTGCCATTGTAGTGGTAATTAGCATGTTCTTTAAGCTTAAATGCCAGTTTCTTGGAATGTCTCTAAAAGAGTTCGCTCCTGTTGGTCTCTCACTCTTTTGCTTCATAAAATTCATTTGAATGTGTAATTCTGTGTGTATTTGGGATTTTAATTGTTTAACTTCATCTCCCCAATTAGACCGCAGGTTTCATATTTTGGTTAGATATGTTGGGGTTCTCCTTGGTCTACCCAGAGCCTTACACTGTACATAGCTCAGAATAGAGGCTCAATCGATGCTAGTTACCCAGATTGCATCAGCTTCCTACCTGTCTTCCTCATCCCACACAACCCCCTTTTGAGTAGATGGCCCTCTCTGCGCTGTTGTTAAAGAGTATGGTGTAAACACTGATCACAGACTGAGGTGACTCTTCTACCAGACTATGACGCTCTTAAGTTCTCAAGGTCACCTTTATTCTCCGGGCATTCAGCAGTGTCTGTTCAGAGAAAGCCCTTAATTAGCTCTGTGCCACAAATTACTCTAAATCATGTTACACCAACTTAAGTTTGGGGTTCAGTATATACCTCAAAGCTCAAAAGCAGCCACTAAAAGGAGGTAAAGCTATAATAAATAGCGTAGGCTAGAAGGTATAGGTTTTTAAAAGAAATAAGAAAATTGTTTATGAACACTGGCATTCTAACATTTATTCTAATAACAGACTGAAATAAAAAATACATTGCCCATTTCAAATATATTGTATTTACTATATTGTAATTTAAATATTTATAAATGCATTGTATTTTTTATTTAGATAGGTGCTTTTTAAAATCTTTTTTTTTTCTTAAAAAAATTTAGGGGAACATGCTCTAAAGAGTAAATACTTATGGAGCACTGATATATAACAGATAGAAGTGGAGCAACTCAGATTGAGAAATAAAACCCATAAAGCAACCCGCAGAACCTTAAGGCTCTGAGAAACAATTTGGAAACTATGGCTCAGTATCGCTTCCAGGTGGAAGGGACAGAGGCTGATTCTTCAGTTTTCGGAGGAGGGAAATAAAAATTGCACCGAAAAATGTTCCCAACTTTTCCACATCCTCCATTTCAAGCAGTACCCACTTGAAAGAACTGTTGAACTAATATCTACTTTAGAGCAATAGTTACAAACCTTAACCTTCTGACAGACTAACTGGACAGACTAGTTTTGCCTTTTTATTTTTCTTTTGAAAAAAATGTCTTCTGAATCATGGAGCCACAGTGTCTTGTTCTGTCTTTTGTTTTGAGCAGCAGTAAAAGTTATGCTCAGAGACTGAGTTGTCTTAGCACAGGTTCACAGTGGGAATTTCAAGTTCACAAGCCAATAGCATAAAGGATAATATATTTTAATAAGCAAAATAAAGAAGTACTGCAAACAAATGACAGGTTAATCACACTATTATTCCAGGCAAGGGGAGGTAAAGAAATAAAGTCTAAATTTAATATGAGGTATACCTTTTTATACAAGTAGACACCCTGGAGAGATGGCATCCAACCTAGAGCTGATTTCCGGCTGCCAGGGAAATAATAAAAGTTCCCTGTTGCTACAGCGTGTTGCTAGGGAATGGAGACTCCAGTGTTGGTAGGTCAGCTGGTGTCTGAGACTTGCCGGCTACTGGGTTTCTCAACATTAGGAGGAAAGCATCACCTTGACAGGAGAGAATGCCCCCAGGGTCTTTGGAGAGTTTTTAGATTAGCAAAGAGTCACCTCGCCCAAATAGGAACTCTTAATAGTCTTCACAAACTCTCCATATTTAGTCTAAATGTCCCCTTGCTGTAGCTGCTTCTCCACTTGTTCTTATCTGTAAGCCCCCCAGTGGGGTCCCTAAATGCTGGGCTGCTGACTGCTTATCAATGACAACAGATGCACAATGATGACATCCTTACTTATATCAAAACAACTTTACTTTTTTTTTTTCTTTAAAGATTTTTATTGGGGAATTAGGGGGATAGGAACAGTGCTGGGGAATTGGGGGAAGGGGAACAGACAAGTTGCTGTNTTTATCTTTATATTCTCCCTTCTCTTCCCACAGCTTCTCCCCATATCCCTTTATACATGGTCATGGTTTTCCCATGAAAAATTGGGAGGGAAGGAAGGAAGGAAGGAAGGAAGGAAGGAAGGAAGGAAGGAAGGAAGGAAGGAAGGAAGGAAGGAAGGAAGGAAGGAAGGAAGAAGCTCCCTTGATATTACTACTTCAATTAACTACTTATCTCCTTCTCGCTCAGGTAGCAGAAATTATCAATATGTCCTGTCTTAGTTCTTCACATGCTCGAGTCCAACTTTCCACATCACATTTCTGCTTTTACTGACCTTTTCAACCTACTCTCAAAAAGGCCACCAATCATGTCCAAAATTGACATTCCCAACAGCACTGCATTAATCATAATCTTACATGGCCATCTCACAGTGACCAACCACTTCTGAAACTCTGCTCATTGCTTCCTTTTCCCACTTATATCCCATCTCCATTGCTCACCTGTCATCGATATGCTGGTTTTCTTTAGGGTTCCTTCCTACGTCCTTTCTAATTCCTACATACTCTTACATACAATTTAAATGCTAATGACTCGCAGATGTTTCTCTCTAATCCATACTGCTGTCAGAACTTGAGACCCATGTCCAGCATGTCTCATGTATCATATTCTTCACCACTGAACAAGACTTCTACCTTTCCTCTGTCTAGACAGCATCTTATTTCCCTTAAATCTACATCTCTTAAATTTGTCCCATTCCCATTTAAATTCTTTGCCAAGTTCATAAATTCTACCTTTCCAGAATTATAGTGATGTCTTACTTACCCTCTAATCTAGTTTCTTTTGCAAGGTTTCAATCCACTTTCTAAGAAAAACCTTAGTTTCCTTTCACACCCATCTCATATCACCTCCACCTAATTCCATCATCAAAAGCTGAATTTTGCACCCTTGAATGAACCTAGTTCTATAGTCCATATAAAACCTCAAGCAGTGCTTATGTGTGTGCTCAGTGTATGTTTTCCTGGATGCAAATATTTAGTTATATTCTCAAAGGAGTCTGTGTCCCAAAAGTGACTGAGAAATTATGACTCACAGTATAATATTTGAGATCTATACTGCAGATATAAAAACTTCAGTGGCCAACTCCTCCCCTTCTCATACTTAGTTAATACAAGCTTCAGTCATATTGATCTATTTGCAATTTCCAAGTATGTCATGTTGTTTCACATCCATGTATTTGTATGAGCTGTTTCCACTACCAAAAGTCCCCAATTATTACTTTGAAAATGGTAAGCTTTTCCTCAGTACATGCAATCCTTTCTGAAGTTTCCCTAAGCTTCTCCAATCAGACATTTTCAAAGCATCTCTCATGCATTTCCATTCTAGCGTACTACGTGGATTTTGTCTTACTAATTTTTATATCCCCCGCTAAATATCCAACACGTGGTAAAACTCTAATGTTTGGGGTTGTTTTTTTTTTCTTTTCTTAAAACAGGTCTCTAAAACTGAGACAATTAATATTCTAACTTGACACATACTTTGTTAGGGTTGCTAAGAAGCCACATTTATCTGAGCTCTAATCCACTATTAAGTTCTTTTTCCTTCCCATTTTTGCCTATCTATATGGCAAATTAAGAAAACAGCGTGTTTGCCTTCTGCTTTCTCCTACTAAATTATTCAGAAACCCATCTAGACATCTACTTTTCTGTGTGCCATAGAGATAGTTAAGGGTTACCTACCTCTTAACACATTCAGGGCACAACATATTATCTTCTAGGTCTGGGTATGGGAAAGTGCAGGCCGGTGACAGGAAGAGAGAGATCATCTTTTTAGGTGTGTCAGGCACCCATGGCTGACCTGCATAGAACAGCAGGCGAACCCAACCTTGTGTGTCTGCCAAGAGAGGTCTGCCATGGACCACACACCACCTGACACCNTCCCTTAGAACAGTTCTCAACTGGAAGAAATTGTTGATTGTTAAAATTGCAGGGGGGAGGGAAGCTTGCTACTGACATTTAGTGAGTAGAGGCCAGGGATGTTTAGTCTAAACATCTTAAAATACACAGGACAGCCTCTAAAACAAAAATAAATCACTTGGCCCAAAACATCAATAGTTTTGGTTGAGAAACCGTGCCTTAGAAGTACAATATATGTAGAGATGCTGGGAGAGGTAGAACAATTCACAGTCAGAACTTATCTTACATTGTCTCCGTAATCCTCACTCATTTGGTTTTCTTCAGAGTAAGCATGTTCCTTTAGCCTCAGATAAAGGTCTATTTTCTAAGGACGTTAAGAGGAGAAAAAAAATTAAAAGTTGACAAAGCTTCCCATGTTTGCTCTGAGCAGCAGAGATCCCCACCAGTGTACTTACCTTGCCATCGGTACTCAGATTAAATTGTTGGCACCAGTTCCGCAAAGTGTCCCAACGCACTTTATTCATTGAAGGCAAAATGGTTGGCAAGGGGAGGATTGGTTTTGGACAAGCTTTGAACTGTTCACTCATTTGAGGAAGATAAACTGAGAAAAGAAGGATACCAAAGCAGTAATAATTTAAAGTCTGTAAGATTCTTTATACTTTTACAAAGTTCTCACTTAGTTCTCATAGCTCAATTTGCACATATACATATCAAGTAGTTCTCATATTGCAGATAAGGTAATAGATTCAAGAATTACAGGACTTACCCAAGATCACATCTCCATTAAAATGGCAGACCTACATTTTGAAATTCTGAATTCCATATTTTCTACACTACATAGAGCAACCTGTTGTTTTTGTGGCCATCAACACTTAGATAGAACATCGTATTGGATTGCTCCTCCAAAATGTCTAGATTTTGGACCTATAGAAATCAAAGAATGCACCCCAACCAACAATAGTTCTCCATTATGTCAGCCTGCCTCATTTTTCTCAACAGCAACTTGTCTCAACTCACTCTGCTTAGCCCTAACCTGTCATTATCGTCATCTTGAAGCCGCTGTTATTGGCCCAGAAAATGAAATCATTCTGAAAATACTTACTCAATGCCTTTATAAGAAGCATTGAGGACACAAAATGTCATGATATTAAGAGTTGCTATAGGGATGGTCGGTTAGCTCAGGTGGTTAGAGCACGGTGCTC